TTATGTATACGTATATATATACATAAATATACATATTTTCTAATCGGTATAGTGAATAAATACAATGCGGAAAAAACTATTTGCAAAATTGAAAAAATTGAAATTAAAAAAAAAATTAAATACAAATCCTACTTGTCTATCCTCCTCTCTCTACTCTCTATCTTCCTCTCCCTCCTCCTCTCTCCTCCTCTCTACTATCTTCCTCTTCCTCTCTCCTCCTCTCTCTACTATCTTCCTCTTCCTCTCTCCTCTTCTCTCTACTATCTTCCTCTTCCTCTCCATGAATATTTCACCATTTCTTGAACTCTGTAGACAAAATGATTGATTTGAATGATTAATTACAAGCAACAAACAACTTGTTTAAGTAGAAATTCAGTCAATGGAACAAGTGAAAATATGCAGCAAAAAAGTGAAATTTCATTTGCACCAAAAACAAAACACTCTTGGTAAGACTTTGAGGTTTTGCAGTGTAACATTTTTATTTTAATTTATCATTGTTGCAGGCCTAAAGTGATTCTTACATGTTCACTTTTTTAGACAAAAATGTAAACATTAGAAACCTAGATACAACAACACAACTCTGTTAGCTAGTTTAGCTCAGTTTATTTCATTCTTTGATAAAAGAAAAGAACAATCCAATGTAAACACAGAAGTTCACAAATCTTGAATGAAAGGGAGCTTTCTTCCTCTGGCCAAACATGGCTGATATCTGGAGAACGACAAACAAATAGATATAATAGAGCAATAAAGAAAACAGCAACAGACTGATGAAATTAGATCATCTGATTAATAATAAACCATAAGACTTAGGGCCCGTCCCAATACCCCCCCTTAGCCCTACCCCTTGACTGTACCCCTACATTTGTGCGTTCCCGCGAGGGGTAGTGGTGTCCCAATTCTTTTTTGTGTGTAGGGGTAGGGTGCATAACGAGGGGTAGTCAGTATGAAACTAGCCCTTCGGAGCGAGGGATTTCAGGTGCTGACTTGCCAGCAAGGGGTAGACGTCGCCATGGCTACCACTGAGCAAGATAAGGGGAAAAAAGTTCATACATAGCTAACTTTACAGTCGTCAGGTTGCTTGTTAGCTAGCTCGCTTGCACTATCTGGCGTCTGTCATCTGTCCTGTTCTGCAAAACTGTCGGATTTTTCACATTACGATAACACACCAGCTAGTATAACTATGCTGCCTCGTGATGTTAGCTGGTTAGCTAGCTAGCTAGCAGAACTCCCCTGTCGTCTGTCGTTCATCAAACGAAGCATGATGAACACAGCAAACGCGATCAGTAGGATAAACTCAACCGGAGACTCCATTGTAGATGCCTGTTGGAAATGTAGATGGCTCGCAGCTTCTTGTTTAAAATAGTTACGTATGCGTGAACGTAACCGACGCGGTGACGTAGTGAGTGGTGTCTCAGTTCCTAGGGAAAGATTTCAACCCCTACCCCTCGTTGCTTCATTTTGAGGGCCAAGTGGTAGTGGACAAGGGCTAAGGGGTAGTGGACAAGGGCTAAGGGGTAGGGCCAAGGGCTAAGGGGTAGGGCTAAGGGGTAGGGCCAAGGGCTAAGGGGTAGGGCTAAGGGGTAGTGGACAAGGGCTAAGGGGTAGGGCCAAGGGCTAAGGGGTAGGGCTAAGGGGTAGTGGACAAGGGCTAAGGGGTAGAGGACAAGGGCTAAGGGGTAGTGGCCAAGGGCTAAGGGGTAGTGGGCAAGGGCTAAGGGGTAGTGGGCAAGGGCTAAGGGGTAGTGGGCAAGGGGGGGGGGGGGGTATTGGGGTTTGGCCTAAACCTGATGGTCCGCTGGGTGTAGATGAAGAAGCACAAGCCTCTGCCTGTCCCTCATCTGTCCCTCCTTCTTCTCCTGCCTGTCCCTCCTTCTCCTGCCTGTCCCTCATCTGTCCCTCCTTCTCCTGCCTGTCCCTCATCTGTCCCTCCTTCTTCTCCTGCCTGTCCCTCACCTGTCCCTCCTTCTTCTTCTGCCTGTCCCTCCTTCTCCTGCCTGTCCCTCATCTGTCCCTTCTTCTTCTCCTGCCTGTCCCTCATCTGCCCTTCCTTCTTCTCCTGCCTGTCCCTCATCTGTCCCTCCTTCTTCTCCGGCGGTCCCTCACCTGTCCCTCCAAGTACCTCAACTTCATGCTGCTTGTCTTCTCTGTCTGCCTGCTCTGTCTCTGCATCAGTACCACCTTGTCCACTGCGCGCTGTTATAGTTTGAGGGTGGGGGACAAAATAGGACATAATGTCCCCCTTTCTCTTCATTTTAAGAACTGAAGAGCAAAAATTAATGGGACAGTTAAGCAGAAGAGCACAGCACTTAAAATTAAGTCGGTACTGTTGCTGTTGGATTGCTTGAATTATGTTGTAATGTAAGTTTGCAGTGATGGCTTTACAACTATATGTCAAGAATGATGGTGCTGAAATCATTTCAATCTTGTTTCACTCAATTCGAGTTCAACGTTCATTCAACAACATTTCAGATGAAGATCTTGTCTTGAATTTTCAATTGTACAAATAGTTTTACGTTACTCACCTTTGTTTCACTAGAAAACTCGCTCCCTTTTCCTCCTTGTGTGGTGTGTTCCTCATGAACCGGTGGGTGCGTCGCTTTAAGTGGTCCGACCGGCAACATGTTGAGACGATTTAGTTCCACGTTCTGTGATGCCCCTCCGACTCTTCGGCCCCCCACCCTCCACCCTCCACCCTCCATCCTCCATCCTCCACCCTACACCTCCACTCTCCATCCTCCACCCTCCATCCTCCACCCTACACTTTCACTCTCCACCTCCACCCTCCACCCTCCATCCTCCACCCTACACCTCCATCCTCCACCCTACACCTCCACCCTCCATCCTCCACCCTACACCTCCACCTCCCATCCTCCACCCTACACCTCCACCCTACACCTCCACCCTCCATCCTCCACCCTACACCTCCATTCTCCATCCGGCTGTGAGCTTCCAGCAGAATGAGATTAGTGATCAGCGGCTCTCTGAGCGACACACTTGGCCGTCTAACAGCCAATCGCTTTAGAGGCGATTAGCTGAGATTTTGTGTCTGTAAAGTCCAGCTTTAATCTACTGTGTCCCCTTAACACCAGAGAGAGGGACGGATTACTGACAGAGCGTGCAAACCTGCTTTTACTCACACACTAGTGTTAGTACACACAATTAACTACAGCCGCCATGAAATGTCAAGTATCACCATTAAAACTGTGAAAGAGAGGTGGAACAGAAACACAAGGAAAATACAAAGAAGACAAACAGGAGTCAGAGATCAGACGAGGAGTGTTGTGTCTGGGTCCCCACACTGCATGTAAACAGGCGTAAACTCACCTGTGTGCGTGTGTGTGTGTGCGTGTGTGCGTGTGTGTGTGTGTGTGTGTGTGTGTATGTGCGTGTGTGTGTGTGCGTGTGTGTGTGTGTGCATGCATGCGTGTGTGTGTGTGTGTGTGTGCGTGTGTGTGTGGGTGTGTGTGTGAGTGTGATCAGAGTGATTACTCCAGCGAATCAGAGAGTGAGGATGCCTTCCTGTTGATGCCTCCCAGAGATCACCTGGGCCTCAGTGTCTTCTCCATGCTCTGCTGCTTCTGGCCGCTCGGCATCGCCGCCTTCTACCTGTCACACGAGGTGAGGACACACTTACACACCTGAGCTGTCACACCTGAGTCCAGGACGGACAGACGTGCAATAGATGTCGTACAGAACAGATCAGCATAATAATAACAGTTATCTGTATGACACAATGAGACAGAGAGAGAGACAGAGAGAGAGAGAGAGAGAGATGCAGGTAATGACAGTAGCTTACAACAACATTATTGAAAGTAATAATATTATAGTTATAGTTCTGGCTACTGTGGTACAATATGTTGAAAGTATGTATTAATATCTGGCAGTATACATGTGTGACAATAGTCATATATGTATAATAACAGAAGAAGTATGACTAATGACTAATGATG